AGCTCGACTGAGCGGCGCGGGCGGCGCGGGCGGCTTGCGTTCGGCCCCGTAGCGTCACTCGTAGGCGTCTGCCCATGATACCGAAAGTGGGGTCTTACAGGAAATTGAACGGGCTTTCCAATGAGCCCACTCTCAAGCAAATCAAAGGTGTCATACTTGGCCAAAATCCGATTTTGAAACTAAAAATCGAGTTTTCGGTACGTCGCGTGAATATTTTCGGAAAATGGACAAGCGCATTCGAAAGAGGGCCAGTTGTTACCCCTTAGGACGTTGATCGTTTGAAAAAAGATGAAGCGTGGCGCTCGCTAAATCGAGTGGAGTGCGCAGTGGCGGGAAAACTTTGACCCCCGATAAGTAGGCAACCCGTCACGCAAGGTCGAAACGCTCTTGCAGGTGGTCATCGGACCACTCAAGGAACGTATCCACCAAGTTTCGTCAAAACTTTTTTTTGTTGGGGGTACGTTTGGCATGGAATGACCCTGCTGCAGCCGGGAAAGGTTTTTTGACGACATGTGTCGCCCTTCTTCTGTCGCAGACGCCGACGTGGTCCAGTGCGACGCCTCCGAGTTCAAGTGCAAGTACCCCGTGTGCGTGCTCAAGGAGTACCAATGTGACGGCGACAACGACTGCGGCGACTGGAGCGACGAGGAGGACTGCCCGCGCCGCACCGCCTGCGTACACGGTGACTTCCAGTGAGTACATAAACCTCCGTGTAGAAAAAAAATAACAACAATGAATTTTTTGTCAGTCTCATTTACTTGTATAAATGGCAGTGACAAATAAATCTGTCATGCCATGGTTGCAAGAAAAAAATAGCTCTTTGACAGATATTTCTAAAACAGTTCGATTTACAGTGACAAATCAAAGACAATTTTCCATATTTCGAATCAAAAAGTCCTTTGAAACAAATTGGCATTTTTTCTCGGTGGGGTCTCAAATGGGCTCCATGTTTTAAATTCACCTTTAAGTTAGCAAATGACGACAGCAATCTGCCAAAGTGGCTGGCTATAGATGGTGCACAGATAGGCTTGTAGAAGCGTGGCGCTCAACCCGGATGGTGCTGCTGCAGGTGCCGCTCGGGAACGTGCCTGCCGGGTCGCCAGCGCTGCAACGGTGAGCGCGACTGCGAGGACGGCGAGGACGAGGCGGACTGCGGGCCCGAGCTGCCGGCCACCTGCCCGCCGGGTCAGCACGCCTGCTCGAGCGGATACTGCATCGAGGCGGCCTGGGTGTGCGACGGCACGGAGGACTGCCCCGGCGGCGAGGACGAGGTGCAGTGCGAGCCTCCCGCCTGCAACAACCAGACGCACTACGCGTGCAGCGACGAGCCCGTCGCGGCCGCGTCCACGCCGCCGCCCTCCGCGGGCGTGGTCTACCCACACCCGCTCGACATGGCGGCCGCGGCCTCGGGCTTCAGCTGCATCCCCAAGAAGCACGTCTGCGACGGCAAGAAGGACTGCGGCGCCGGCGACGGTAAGTGCGCCCGCTTCTGTCCTTGAGCCGACCCACCTGGACTGGAGGTCGTGCGCTGCCAAAGGCTCCTTGTGGTTCAGAACCTATGCTTGAGCTAATTCAGCTACTTCAGCCAGCTCAATAAGCTAGTTTAGCTAATTCTTTCTCCTATGTGTTATCAACGCCTCCCCGGTGTGTGCTTGCAGACGAGCGCGACTGCCCCGTGCCGCGCAACTGCTCGGCCGGCTCGGGCTGCGCGCAGCTGTGCATGGAGGCGGCGGGCGCGCGCGAGGTGTGCAGCTGCCGCCCGGGCTACCGGCTGGCCGCCGACGGCCGCGGCTGCGAGGACGTGGACGAGTGCGCCGACGACGAGGACCCGCCGTGCCAGCAGGGCTGCACCAACACCAACGGCTCGTTCCTCTGCAGCTGCCGCCCGGACTACGTGATGCGGCCCGACCGCCGCAGCTGCAAGAGCGTCGAGGCGCCCGCCACGCTGCTGCTCACCAACCGCGTGGACATCCGGCAGGTGCGGACACCTGCGACAAGGAGTGGAGGCGTAGTTGCATGGGGTGGCCACTCATTGTATAGTGCTGCATTGCTGTAAACTTTAGCTCTCGATCTAATGGTCATTTTTTTACTGCGTGCACATGCAACGAACATGCCCTAGCTTGGGGGTGGGGGTGGGGTTAATGTTCAAATATTATGCCCTCAATTGCGTTCGTGATCACCATTGAAGTTCATAAAGTACCGTACTATTTGTGCCCCGGCGTACGCGTACAAGTATTCTGGGGCCACCTGGAGTCCAATCATGGTCCCCTGATCCTTTTCTTGAACCTCAGTAACGATTATACCACCCCCGTGCACGTGGCAAGTACACGCGGTCCCCACAAGTGCACGAGTCGTGACGGTAACATTCCACTTCTCCGTCAGGTGAACCTCAACAACCGGCGCACCCACACCGTGCTGCGCGGCCTGCACAACGCGGTGGCGCTCGACTTCCACTGGCGCACGGGCGAGGTCTACTGGTCCGACTACTCGATGCACGTCATCCGGAAGGCGGCGCTCAACGGCAGCGTGGAGCAGGACGTGGTGCGCTGGGGGCTGCAGACCCCCGCCGGGCTGGCCGTCGACTGGGTGCACGGCCTGCTCTTCTGGACCGACTACGAGCTGCGGCGCGTGGACGTGGCCAACCTAGACGGCTCCATGCCCACCACCATCGCGCACACGGACCTCGAGAAGCCGAGGGACGTCGCCGTGCACCCGGGCAGGGCCTTCGTCTTCTGGACGGACTGGGGTGAGTTTCGACAGCAACTACAACACGCAACTTGAAAAGTAAATGCTTTACACAGTGTGTAAAATTATGCGAACGGTGGTTTTTATTACTCTTTTATAAAATTGCCGCCTATAGGTCCCCGTCCCAAGATTGAGCGCGTCGAGATGAACGGCCAGAACCGGCGCGCCATCATCACCCAGGGCATCAAGTGGCCCAACGGGCTGGCGCTGGACTACGACAACGACCGCATCTTCTGGACGGACGCCATGTACCACGTGATCGAGAGCTCGGACCTGGACGGGCGCGCGCGTTCGGTGGTGCTGGCCAAGGGGCTGCCGCACCCGTTCGCGCTCACGCTCTTCGAGGACACGGTCTACTGGACGGACTGGCACACGCGCAGCGTGATGGGCGCGAACAAGGTGACCGGGCGCCGCGTGCACGTCGTGCTGGACCGCCTCCACCTGCCGATGCAGGTGCACAGCTGCCACCCCAAGCGGCAGCTGACCTACACCGACCGCTGCCCCCGCGGCAACGACTCGTGCTCGCACCTCTGCCTGCCCAGCGCCACCTCCTTCACCTGCGTCTGCCCGGTGGGCGTCCGCCTGCAGTCCAACCGGTAAGCAAGCAGCGGCGACCATTCAAAGCTGCGAGTAATTCGAACGTCCGGGCGAACAGTAAGAACGAGCAAGTCGCAATCGAGGGAGCACCAACTCTGACATTTTGTGTACTGTGAATACACTCAAATAGTGATATCACTGAGTAATTGCTGAATATTGACTGAATATTGAAGCTATTAACTCCCACGTGAACCGTGAGTACTCGATATTGGTGCCCCCTCGGTCGCAATGTGGGGTTGGGGGTTGGTCTTTCAAAGTTAACGTTTAAAGTGGGTGTTTATTTCTTGCACTCACAATGCGACTCTCGTCGGTTCTTTGCCGGGTCCTCACCACCCGTCTTGCGCCCCCCCACAGCCGCTCCTGCGAGGCGAGCCCCGAGAGCATGCTCGTGTACGTGCGCAAGAAGGAGATCCACCTGCGGGAGATGTCCGGGTCGGCGGCGGAGACGGGTGCGCTGGCCGCGCTGGGGCTGGGCTCCTCGGCCCGGGACGTGGTGCTGGCCGTGGACGGGGTGCGGCACGCGCAGGCCGTCGCCTGGGACTCGGCCTCCGACTCCATCTTCTGGAGCGACTTCAAGGCGACCACCATCTCCAGGGCGAGGCGCGACGGCAGCCAGCAGCGCGTCGTCGTCGGGAGCGACCTGGGTAAGCCGGAGTCCGGGCCTTGTTTCGGCTCACTCGTCAAGTGCGCCCAGCCTTAATACCCCTGCCGCCCACAGAGGACCCCGTCGGCCTGGCCGTGGACTGGGTGCGCCGGCGGCTGTACTTCTCCGACTACAAGAGCCAGCGCATCGAGACGACGGACCTGGAGGGCGAGGAGCGGGTGGTGCTGCTGTGGGACCTGTCCGGGCCGCGCCACCTGGCGCTGTTCCCGCCGGGCGGCGTCATGTTCTGGTCCAGCTGGGGCGGGCCCAAGCCGCTCATCGAGTCCGCCGGCATGGACGGGCGCCGGCGCCGCGCCTTCATCTCGGACCGGCTCATCTCGCCCGGCGCGCTGGCCATCGACCACGACCGCAAGCGGCTGTACTGGACCGACCCGGGTCTGGGCGTCATCGACAGCATCAACGTCGACGGCACGGACCGGCGCCTCGTCATGGGTGGGTATATAACGAGCGTAGCACTCCCGCGGGCTCGGCGTCGTGCACGGATAAGGGGGGTACTTTCTTCAGGGCTCTAATCTCAAACCGATTTCGCTGGGCCGGACTGACAAAAGACGTGGAGTTTTACACAAAGATGAGGTTACCTCTATGGCTATAAATTTACCTCTGCTCTCTGGAATACATTGATCATGGCCTCCAAAATACTTTTCTTCTCAAGCTTGAGTTCAAATAAAGTGTCGGGGAAAACGTACCCCACCCAGTAGAAGTGCAGTCCGTGCACGACTCCGCGCACTCGGGCTTGGACCTTGCTGACGGCGCCTTTCTCTTATTTCCGCAGACAAAATGGCGCACCCCCTGGGCCTGGACGTGTTCGGCAACCGCCTCTACTGGACCGACTCCAAGAACAACGACCTGTACGTGCTCAAGGACGGCAAGCACAACCACACGGTGCGGGCGGGCGTGTCGGGCCTGCTGGGCGTCACCGTGTTCCACCAGCGTCGGCAGCCCGTCCGCACCGGCTGCGACCAGGTAGGAGGCGACGAGCAAAGCGGGGTGTCTGCACGGGGGTAGTAAACTCAAAAAAAATAAGAACTTTTCAAAGAAAAAAACGAAGAAATCAAGGGGAAAAACAGAAAAATGTGAGAAAGTCAGAAAAGAAATCAGAAAAAAAGTAAGAAAATATCAAAATCAAAATACAAACACAATCAAGAAAAGCGGAAAAAGCGTTGTACTCTTGAATTAATAGTGAAGTTTCCCTCGGGCGCGCCTTGCTGACTCACTGCCGGTCTGTGTCCAGGACAACTACGGCTGCTCGCACGTGTGCCTGCTGTCCAACGGGCACGACCTGGCGGGGTGCGCGTGCCCGGTGGGCTGGCGCATGCGCGCGGGCCCGGACGAGGACGGCCGCACCTGCGAGCAGCAGCCGGGGCCGTACCTGCTGCTGGCGCGCCGCTGGGACGTGCGCCGCGTGCCGCTCGGACTGCCCTACGTCATGGACGTGCCCCTGCCCACGCCCGGCCTGCAGCTGCAGAACACGGTGGCCGTGGACGCGGACCGGGCCACGGGCGACGTCTACTGGAGCGACACCATCATCTCGGCCATCATGCGCGCGACGCGCACGGGGGAGAACGCGACGGTCGTCATCTCGAGCGGGCTGGATACGCCGTACGGCCTGGCCGTCGACTCGGTGGGCAGGAAGGTGTACTGGACCGACTCCGGGCGGCGCATCATCGAGGTGGCCGAGCTGGACGGAGCGCGGCGCCGCGTGCTCGTGTGGGACAAGCTGCACAACCCGTGCGCGCTCACGCTGCACTACCCGTCCGGCCTCATGTTCTGGTCCGACTGGGAGGAGCACTCCGGCCGCATCGAGCGCGCCAACATGGACGGCAGCGCCCGGTGAGTCCGACAAGTTGCCGTGAAAAGGATATGTCACACCCAACGTCAGTCCATAGTATCGTTATGATATCAGGGTTCTGAAGATATCAGTTACTTTAGAGCGCATTAAAGTTACATTACAGTTTTCCCTCTAGCACACGTAACTTTTGTGAGCATTTAAAACTGAAATACTTTAGATTTGGTACCGTCGTTTTTCTTCTAAATTTCGAAATTATTTTTCCCAGCGTGGTGATCTTGTCTGACGAGGTGGGCTGGCCGGGCGGGCTGGCCGTGCACGACGACCGGCTGTACTGGTCCGACGTGGCCCTGCACACGGTGGAGAGCGCGCGCCTGGACGGCTCGGAGCGCGCGCTCGTCCTGCACCGCCTGCGCGAGGACCCCGCCGGCGTGGCCATCCTCGGCGGCCAGGTGTACTGGGGCTACCGCGGCGTGACGGGCGCGCTGCACCGGGCGCCGCTGCCCAAGAACCCGCCCGTCAACGCCTCCGAGGACTCCGTCATCCGACCCGGCCTCCCCTACCTGCTCGACATCAAGGCCATCGATGTGAGTAGTGCAGCGTCGTCGGCGACGATAGAGGCAAAGTAACGGGAAATAGAATGTGGGACTACTGGCTTTAGTATCAAGGAGAAGACGGTACTCAAACGCACAACAGTCAAGATGTTGCCTATCTACCTATCAGGCAGCTTGGCGCCTGCGAGGCCCAGGGTGGGCCATCCCGCTGCACACGCAAGTACAACAAGCAAGATGTTGCCTACCTATTAGGCGCTATGAGACCTTCCATTGGCTGAACTCGTCAATTTCGCAACGGCAAAAATGAGGAACGCACTTTCTGACAGCGCCACAATAAGAACGAGTTAAAGAACAAGTTGATTCCTTGTCAAGGAGTTAATTTTGTGTTCTACGCCCCCTCCGTTTTATTGCTGGTGTTTGTTTTACCCCCGACCATTAGCTTACCGCAATTACGGACGGCTCGAATTCGCTATCAAGAAGGAGTCGTTACACCCCATTCGAAGTTGAAGTCCCCGAAGTCCCTTTTTGGAGGGCGGTTGAGCATGGCGGTGGTTTCCTTTGGTCGCAGACGTCGCCGCTGCCGGAGAACGCGTGCCTGGGCGCGAGCTGCTCGGACCTGTGCCTGCGCGTGCCGGGCGGGCGTGCGTGCGCGTGCCCCACGGGCGTGCCCATGGGCCGCGACGGCCGCACCTGCTCCACCAACGTGACCGAGATGCTGCTGTTCGCCACCCCGGACGGGCTGGCGCGCATCGCCACCAGCTCGCTGCAGCGCTTCCACGACGTGCTGCTGCCCGTGCCGGACGTGCGCAAGGTCGTGGCCGTCGACTTCCACTGGGAGCACAAGCTGGTCGTGTTCGCCGACATGAGCCTGCAGGAGATACGGTGAGTGGAGCCCTGCCTCCCCCTGCGAATGATGGTTCGAGACGACCACGCCCTGCTGTGAGCTTGGTCCCGACCTCCTCTTCCGAAATTTTCCTATGAAAATGAGAAAATTTCCAGGAAAAAAAATGGCAAAAACTGAAATATTTACAGATGAAATGGAAAGAGTAAAACTTTCTAGTCGCCAGATTTATAAAAAAATTGATGTCCATTTTCCCAAAAAATTTTGTTTGCAAAATTAAAATTTCTACAATTGCCTGCTGCAGGTCGGTGAGCATGCGAAACTGGTCCGAGGTGACGACCCTGGTGCGGCTGGAGGGCGGCGAGCCGACGGGCGTCGCTGTGGACTGGCTGGCCGACAACCTCTTCTGGACGGACGCCGGGAGGAGGGTGGTGGGCGTGGCGCGGCTGGACGGCCGCAACCAGAAGATCCTCGTCTCCAAGGAGCTCTCCTCGCCGCGCGCCGTCGTCGTGCACCCAAAGAAGGGGTGAGTAAAACATTGGCAAAACTCTTTGTTAACGGCCGAAATTGCTGGCATTTCATGAAAGGCCTTTGAAAATTCTTTCCAAGAAACTTAAGAATCTATTATTCCTCTTTACTTCAAACGCAGGCTCATGTTCTGGACGGACTGGGGGCCGAACGGCACCTCGGACGGCACCAAGATCGAGCGCGCCCAGCTGGACGGGTCGGAGCGGCGCGCCATCGTGAGCACGGACCTGGACAAGCCCAACGGTCTGGCGCTCGACGTGCAGGGCAGCCGCCTCTACTGGGCCAACTACGGGCGCGCGCGCATCGAGTCGTGCGAGATCACGGGCAACGACCGCATCCAGCTTGTGGCGCAGGCGCAGAACGTGTTCGGGCTCACCACGGTCAGTGGACATGTCCAAACTAGGGATTGGAAATTCCGGCAAAACTGTTTCTAAAAATGCTTTTCTGGAAAATCGAATCCCTTGTCTAAGCTGGCGGGAAACTGTCAGCTGTCAGATACCATCCTAGTTGAAAATGCTTCAACACCTGGACGTGCTTTCCGTAGGTGGGCGACCACATCTTCTGGACCGACTTCAGCAAGCGCACGCTGGAGCGCGCGTCCAAGCGAACGGGCCGGGACCGCATGACGGTGGAGACGATGGTGGACCAGGTGGAGGACCTCAAGGCCGTGTCCTCGGCCCGCCAGCGCCGCGCCGGCACCCCGCCCTGCGGCGACGACAACGGTGGCTGCTCGCACCTGTGCCTCGCCCGCGAGGTGGACATCGTGTGCGCGTGCCCCGACCAACCCCACGGCCCCTGCAAGCGCGGTGAGCGCACATGTGCACGCACTGCTGTACACTGAGGGGTACTTCACGCAGAAAACACATTGTACAGCACCCCCCCCCCCTTCAAAGAAAGAAAGAAAAAATCAGAAAAATTGGTTTACGCTTGAATTTACAGTCAAGTACCCCTCGGCGTACATCATACGGAGCATGCCGATTGCAAAAGCAGGTGCCTCCGCTCAGCACTGACTGACCAAACCTTTTTCGTCCCACAGCCGTGAACCGACGCGCGCCCAACCCGTCCGAGGAGGGCGAGTACGACGAAATCGAGGAGGGGCTGACCGACGTCTCGCACATCGCGCCGGACCTGCGCAACGCCACCACCAAAACAGCCCCGGTAAGTTGGCTTTGGCCGTGCCCCCACCCCCTC